AGATCCTCCGGTGAAAATGATAATTCCACACCCTGGAGTCTTTTCCTTCCTAAGAGTTGATCCTGCTCATAACGAGGTAAAAGGATGCAGTTCTCAAATGCTGCCGTTGCAATGATGCCCCGTGTCTTGCGATAAGGCCCAAGCTCCAAACATTCTACACAAATGTGGTAAGCTCTTCAGACTTCAAAGCCTACGAAAGCATTAACGCTTCGATTAAAAATTTACAAATAGACTTTTCACTCGAAGGGTGTTGAAGATAGTGGGTAAACAATTTATATTTCTGTTTGTTAACTGCTGTTTTTGGCCGCAGTTCGCCTTGCGAATGTTTCACAAGAATGCTGGGTTGTGAACAAAACTTTCGCCCCAGACGGGACTCGAACCCGCACCTTTTGCTTTCCTAAAGGCGAACTGCTGCTAAAAGCAGCAGTTAACAAACAAAAACAAGTCGAAATCCATATTTCGTTTCATCCTTGCTGGGGGGGAGGGGGAGGGCGGCAAGAGGGATCCTGGTCGTAGCCATAGGGAAAGCCGTAGGGCGTTGGATAGGGGTCGTCGCCGCAAATCGGGTATACGACTCATTCGTCGATATTTTTGTTTTTAATCGATATTCAATTATTATGTTGCTCGCTACAAAACCACATGAGTTTCTCGCCAACCTGAAGAACCACATCTCTATTTTTCTACAATTCAGTTAAAAGAGTTCGAAGCTCGACGACAAAGAGAATCCGATACGTCTCCTGTTCCTAGCGTGGCGTCAACTGCTGAACATAACACGAACAATGGCCGCTTATCTGTGAACAGCAACCATTCACACAACGGTATGCCTGAACAAGTGTTTTTTCTCAAATTTTCGAACTTTTCGTTTCTCTGACTACATTGTAGCGCGAAGTTTTCACTTGCTATGGATTCTTCTCCTTATCGATTTGTACCCTAACGATAAGGAAAGTTCAGTTGATACAGAATTCACTTCATTCTTAATAAACCCTGCTTTTGCTTTGGAAATTCTAACACGGAATGAAGCGCGTTCATATTTTTGAAGGAAATGTTCATATCGAGGAGCTCAACGGTAGGCTAACCTTAGTTGGGCGCGGCGCCAGGCACCCCCATGCGGCGGCGCGGCAAGTCTGCATCGTCTGGGCATCCCGTCGGAATCTCACGTGCCAGGGAAGTGTACCGAGCCTCGAGGGGTTGGGGGGGTCGGCGGCAGTCACTTGACTGCGTTGAAAAGGATCGGAAATTGTCTCAGTTTACCCCAGACTCCCTGCCTCGAGAAGGGCCAGGTGAGAGGCTTGCCGCAAGGACCGCGTGCCACCCCGGCCCAACCGTTTCAGCCCCACCCCGAGCTCAATCCACTGGTACTGGCGTGTGTCGATTTTTATATCTCCGATCGACTCAGTCAATGTTCCCGTACCATAAGTTTCACATTACTTGATGTGACAATGTGTTGTTTGTGAATCACCGACTATGTGTATGAAATGATGGATCATAAAATAGTGTCCTTAAACTACGTCGAAAAAAGAACTGTCTACTAGGCATCAAAGTGTGCCGCGGATTAGGCCAACGCTTCATCTCTATCACTAACACGGGTCTTGCTCTTAGCGCGTTTAAGGGGCGACGAAAATTCACAACTCTTCTGACCTTACTCTCAATAATAACAGGCCAACTGTCTTAGAAACGCCATCCTTAGTAGCGCAGCCGCGCGCGCCGTCATAAGCTGATGTTCAGAGTTTCCTCGTATTTAACGGTTTCAGCTCCTCAGCGTCCAAGCACACCCACCCCCCACCCCGCCCCCCCCCCCGACCCCCCCCCCCCCACACAAGACTTGTCATGTTTTCACCTGGCCTAATCGATGATTGTGTCGCCTCGACAGCTTTCTAGCAGGTACTCTTCAGCTTACATGTCTTTTCCATAGTTGCGTTTGGCTTCGGTATCATATTCAGATATACCTTTGTTTTTGCACCATCTTTTTGCTCTTCAGCAGCCCTATGTGATAAGTGTCACAGAGGATTCCGTCACGAATTCTTCTCCTGCATTGTCGGCCTCAAATAATCCTCGTCAAAAATGTGATGAATGATACTGGTGCGAGCAACAACAGCTCTCCGGTACTGCAGCGTCCAAGCACTAATGGCCACCATAACACTGCTGTCTCCTCCTACAACATTCCTGAGCAAGTTAGTTGCTTTACTGGTTTGTACCAATTCGAACAAGTAACTACACATTTGCTAAATACATCATTCGAAGTAAACTCAAGTTGTTATTATGAAATTTCAAGACCATAAACGTTTTGGTATGTATTTTCAGCAACTTCCTGTAAACTTAGATCGAACCCAACTGCAACATGAACGTGATGCTGCGGTGGCAGCTTATGAGCAAGTATCCGCGCAACTTGAACAACTGGTGAGTGCGCTAGTGCCTCGGGTGTTGCTGTTCACTGATGCACTCCCTAGGATTGTTTATCTTCTTAGCTCTATGAATGACTTTTTACAGTAGCTTGAAGGGCATTCGGTAAGTTTCTCATGTAATGGTCTTATTGTGTATATTTTCAGCGTATGCATTACGCCCAGTTACACGCAGCTTACTCCAGCATGAGCAACAGTGCAGTCCATTCCGATGCCGATAAGCAAATTCAGCAACTTCAATCGGTGAGATGCTGACCAAGCTAGTGTATTTTGGCCACTTATGGCTTCTTTGCTCAACTCGATATACTGTCTCTCAGTCTTTGTTCTTCAGGCGCTTGCAGTGCTTGTTGAGGAAAAAACTTCGGTGCAATCTGAATTGCGTAATGTAAAAAGTGATCTGGAGCAGGAGAAAATTCCTGAATGAAAGTGTAAGTTGGACTCCTATTGGCTTTCTTACTGTTGCTAAGGTAATTTTTGATGAATGCACTGTGAATTGTTTTTCCTTCAGCTTTCCGCAAATATGAAGTCTCTTCGCGGTGACGAGTCGAAAAAACTGCAGAACCGTTTGGTGGAGTGTGAGCATCTTCTGTCTGCCCGCAGCGTAGAACTCGATGGTCTCAGAAGGAGTGAAGCCAATGCCCAAGCACAACTTCTGGCTGTCCAGCATGAAAGGAGTGAGGCGCAGGTAATTTTCTACTTTGATAACATCATCCCTACTCCTCTGTAATACTTTTATTAAGGCTCGGTGTTTTTAGGCTCGTCTCAAAGTCATTGCCCGCGAGAAAGAAGTGTTGGACTCGGAGCTGAAACAAGTGAGGAAGGAACTCCATATGAAGGAAATTTATTTGAAGCAACTGGGCCCGCATGGAATAATGAACAACATGAGCGACGAGAACACCATCAAAGCCCTACATGGTGAGATTAATTGCGTTTTGGTGCGATTTGAGTTATTTTCTTCGCAGTTAAGTATCACTTGAATACCCGCATTTTTCCAAAATTGCTCCGGGAGATCGCTTTTTGTAGATTTCCATTTCCTGCTCTCGAAAGCCTTCTGGTTAGCCAAATCTGGATGTTCCGTGGACATTTTTTATGTTTTGACTAGGTCGTCATGTCACTGCTAAAATCGCTTTTTAGCGCTGCTAACGATTGTTTGGCAATTGAAGAACTTGCGACCCAGTCAATCCGAAAAAAAAAATCTGCAAGCGTAATGTATCCGGGGGCGGCGCGCATCTAAAAAATTGTAGTCCAGTGAAGAATGCGAAAGGAGTTGACCCCAAGAAGTTCTGCAACACTTCTGCACGCAGTTGTAATATGTTTTGCCCACACTACAGTCCCTCAACGTTTGGTAAATGTGTGCGCGTTAAACTGTTTGAGAACTAAACGATTTGCGAACCTCTGTGTTCTGTAAAATAGGCTTTGTCGAAAAAATCAGATCTGATT